CCAGCACGGCCGACAGGTGGCCGATGTAGCGGATGGCCAGGCGCAGCGTCTCGATCTTGGTGAGGCTCTGGCCGGCGGGCGCCACGGACGGCGGCAGAAAGCGGCGCAGCTCGTGCAGGGCGCGGGCGAGCGTGCGCATGCGCAGCTTCTCGCGCTCGCTGGCGCTCTGCCGCTGCCCGCCGCCCAGACGGCCGCGCCTGCCGGAGGCCGGGCTGCGGGGGCCCGGGCGGGCCGCGGGCCGCGCGGGGTTGAGCACGCGTTCGCCGGCCGGGGCGCTGCCCCACGAGTCTGGGGACGAGGCGGAGGAGCAGCCGCGGTCCCTGTCGGAGGGCGGTGGCAGCCGAGCTCGGCCCCATTCCGCGGACGGGATCCAGGACTCGGGGAGCGGCGGGCGCAGGGGCTGAGCCATGACAGCGGCGGCGCGTCTGGGGGCCGGCGGCCCGCGGCCGCTTTATCCAGAGCCCGAGGTGTGAAGCGGCCCCTTCCAGGCCGCATCAGCATATCAAAGCGGGCTCGGGGCCTGGAGAGGACGAGGCCTGACCCTTTGAATCAATGGGGGAGCGAAGGTGCCAGCCCCTTGGCTGCGCCTGTTTCGCCCCACCTGGGCGCTTGCTTGGGCGCCGGACCCAGCCGCCCGGGCCTCCTGCTTGCCCCTAGTGGCCTGCCCTGCCGGTTAAAGGAAGCGGGGGTCAAAGACGGATTTGGGGCCCACCTTCACCTGTTGGGGACTTTATGCAAATTCTCAATTTTCTTGCACCTTAGTTTCCAATTTGTGTAACGAAAGCCTCGGGGCATGCATCAGCCTGGACTGTGGAATAGAGTAGGGACCAGGAGTGGGGCCCTGATTCCCTCTAAAGGTGCGGAACCAGTGAACCATCCCTCTTCTGAGGCAGGCTGACACTGGGCGGGGGGGAGGTGGGTGAACACTGTGAGGAATCTATCCTGCGCAAATCCAACAAGCTGGCCGAATCTGATCAGATTGCTGGACCATCTGAGCAGAGGGAGGGATGAGTCTAACCGCCCCCCCCCCCCAGCTTGGCAGGGTCTAGGGCTAGGCCAGTCGCCATAGCTGCCACCACTGGCCTCTAACTGGCGTCCCGCCACTTTTGGACAGGGGTAACAGGTTTTGCCAATGAAATGTGAGTGAAAATGACAGAAAAAGCATTTGACAAAATTCAACACCCTTTCATGATAAAAATTCTCAGCAAACAGGGAATAGAGAGGAATTTCCTTAACCAGATGAAAGGCAGCTACAAAGACCCTACAGGCAGCACCACACTGAAGAGTGAAGGACAGAAAGCCTCCCTGCTAATACCAGAAATGAGGCGGGGATGTCTGCTCACACCACCCCTATTCAACATTTTCCTGGGTGGAGAGTCTAGGCTGTGCAATAAGGAAAGAGAAATAAAGGCATACAGGTTAGAAAGGAAGAAATCAGACCGTCTCTGTTTACATACCTGATTGCCCACACAGAAAATCTCAAAGAATCTACATTGCCTGGCCCCCCAAGGGGTTGAGTTTGCACACATGTCATAATAGGTATGTCATGCATGGGTATCTACTCTCAGCTAGACTGTGAAGTGCCTGGTGTCTGGCATCAGGTCTCTACCTGTTTCTCCTTCAAGCAGAACGGTCTCTTTCAGTGCCAGGGGTCTGATGTTTTGCATCCCCTCCGGCCCCGTGAGACTGCTGGGTGAGCTGGCAATGAAGACCAAGTGGCTCGGCACCATTTCCCTGGGCATCTCTGCCCCCCATCCCCTCCACTGTCTTTTTTATCTCCTACTGCCCTTGGCCTCCTATAACACCTTCTATACACCCCTTCTGCCTGTCCCAGCAGCCCCAGAATGCCTTTGCTCATGGTCACGTCCAGGAGAAGCAGTGCCAACCCTACCCTGAGGCGAGGAAAAGGGGAGGAGCCTCCTCCCTGCGCACGCACCGTAGGACTCCTCTACTCCTAGGGAGAGCCTGGTCCCGGAAGCTTCTCCTCACCCTGGAGCTGTCGCAGGGCCCACCCTTCTGGACCTTGGTGGCTGGATGCCTTCCAGGGGCTCCAGATCCAAGCCAAGAACCTGGCATGGGATTTGGGCCTCTCCGATGCCGCTAGGCCCGAGGGGACAAGTGTTGGAGATTGGTAGAGTGTGCGGGGCACTGGGGAGGGAGCGGGAGCAGAGGAAAGGCCAGGCAGGCAGGAGCGGTGGGTCTCAGAAGGCTCTGGGCACCATTTTCCAGGGACTGCCAACCTCTCGAATGTCAGAAAAGCCCTCAATTCCCATATGATTGTGATTTCACTTAGTAGCTAATAATGGAGAAAATTCAGAATGACCAAAAGTTCTTGTTTTATTGTCATTTCCTTGTTTACTTCAAAATATAATTCATGCACATGGCTAAAAAGTCAAAAGGCCCACAGGGGTATAACAAATCCCTTTACTCTCCTGCCTTGAGGCTTCCAGTTGCCTGCTCCAGA